TACCTCTATGGAGCTACTAAAGAGAGATAGAGAGTTTTAGTGTACAGACTAAGAGAAAGAAATAGTGAGAGGAGGACAGAAGTCCTTTATTAGCATTCCATTCAAATAGCTCAATAGAGCAGTTGTCACTCATGGGATTCCCAGGCCTCCAGGAAGTTATGCTTGTATTCCTTTCATTGATACAAAGACTCTTCATTAAGAGACAGCAGTGAGTATGACATGTGGTCTCAGGGGGTCTTTATGAGGAATCTGAATCTGGGATTCAGCGTGTGTGAGCTGTGATTGACACTCCATCAGACGCTCCTCTGGCTGTGATTGGTTGTTTTGACTCGTCCCGAATTATTCTTTCCAGATTGAAATACAGGCAGTAGGCGGTACCAATTGAAGCAGTTTTTTTCACAGGTTACATATCACATGTACTGCTGTCTGGGCATAGGGACAGTTTTAGCCAATATGAAAAAAAGTGATTTTTAAAAACTTACAGACTTCAGCTTTAAATCATACAGGGGTGTATCGCACCATGTGCTCGTTACTCAGCATTATTGGGTGTTTGCTCATTTTAATACTGAAAGTCTTCGTTGGTGTGGCCCTGAATTTTGAAGTGATAGTTAACATGACGGATCGATTGAAACAGCTATCCGAGGCCAGTCTAAAGATGGTAACTCGGTTGAGTCTGGTAAAGAATTTACAGAGAGCTTAAAATCCATTTCACTGTCATAAATAGTCTACAAATGCGAAAATTTTCAAAGCAAAGAATATTTTCTCTACCTGTCGTCTAAGAGGGTTCTCTATTAAAAGCAGATTACAAGACTTTGAACAGCTCTGAAGACACTATTGATGGTGGCAAATGATTGCACTGTGTTATTTATTCCATAATTACATTCTGCCTTGATTGACAGATAGTGGACCTTGTGAATGGTTGATGTAATTAGTCTCCCAGTACTATTGTGAAACACACAGTCCAAACAGAACAGCATAAGTGCATCAATTGACATAGGTTATACAACACCGTACACTACCTGCAGAGTCCACAAATGAACGTAGTGTGAAGTGAGCTCAGGAAATGAAAATTGCAGCAGTGAAAGCAACTGCAGAGTGCCTCAATGTGGGTGTGGGAGTGCCACATTGAAAATTAAGAGAGGGAGTATCATGTTCAAACAGTGAAATGTTTTATGCAGAGGCCTCTGTCACAGCTGAACGGATGAAGTAATTTCATTTTCATGGATGATCTGCAGTGCCACAGACCAGCAAAATTGCATAGGAGGGGAAGAGAAAGATAGAGCTTGGGGGAAAATAAAGCAGTCAAACATACCTTTTTTTTTCCCTGGATTCTTTGATTATTCCATCGTACTAGTAACCATAGTGACGATGTACACCCAATTGAACTTGCAGTGGTTGAATGAGGAGGAAATTATACACAACACATAAATGAATATATACATGTATGTATGTATGTATATATATATATATATATATATATATATATAAATAATACATACCTGATATGGTTTCATGAAATACACTGAGCACTTTGTTCTGTAGAAAGTTAAATGTGCTGATATCAAAATCACACAGAAAAAGAAATCATTAATAAATATCAAATTTGGAAATCAAATTTGTTTACCAATCCAGGACTGGATTTGGACTTTTACACCTAATTAAAGTGGGAAAAATAATATAGTCAGATACAACTTTGACGTAATGTTCTGAAAACAGGGCAAAATGAGGCTCAGTATTTTTGTGTGGTCTCCACGTGGCTGTGTGACCTCCCTACAATGTCTGGACATACTCCTGATAAGATTGCAGACGGTCTACAGGGGGATCTCTTCCCAGATGTGGACTGAAACAACTGCTGGATAGTCTGTGGTGCAACATGACGTTGGTGGATGGTTCAAGACATAATGTCCCAGATGTGCTCGATCAGATGTTCAGGGCAGGCCAGTCCATAGCTTCAATGGCTTCATCTTGCAGGAAGTGCTGACACACTCCACCCACATGAGGTCCAGCATTGTACTGCATTGGGATGAACCCTGGGCCAACCTTAACAGAATATGGTCTCACAAGGGGTCTGAGGATCTCATCTCAGTAGCAGTCATGCTACCTCTGGTGATCACATGGACCCACTGCCAAACCTGTCATGCTGAAGGATTTTGCAGGCAGCATATCGCCTTCCATGGTGTCTTCACAATTGTCTGTCACACGTCTTTCACATGTCCTCAGTGCAAACCTGATTTCATCTGTGAAAAGCATACTGTGCAACTGGTGAATTTGCGAATCCTGTTGTACTTTGGCAAATGTCAAGTGTCCTGCACTGTGTTGGGCTGTGAGCATAACCGACATTTGTGGACGTCGGCCCTCATACCATCCTCATGGAGTCGGTTTCTAGCTGTGCAAACAAATGCACATTTGTGCAATGCTCAAGGTCATTTTTAAGGGCTCTGGCTGTACTCCTCATGTTCCTCCTTGCACAGGAGTCATGGCCTCCTCCTCCATGACTCCTGGCGTACTGGTCCGTCTCCTGGTAGCACCTCCAGCTAGAACTGGTTCACTCCTTTATTGAGTGTGTCTTGGTAATTGCCAATATTTCCACCTGTTGGCTATTTAATTTGCACAAGAGATGTAAAATTGTTTGTCAATTAGTGTTTCTTCTTAAATGGAAAGTTTTATTTCAGAGCAGTTTAATTTGATTTAAGATATATAGTTTTGCGTACACGTCCCCTCTATATTTGAGCAGTGTGTATGTATGTATGTATATATATATATATATATATAAGGTGACAATAATAGTATGAGGTCTAGCAATACTGTAGAATAAGTACAGAGCACCTTACATTGTTTTCTTTTTACCACTAATAAATCACAAACTGTTTTGTGAACTACACAGAAACACAGAAGCTAATAATTATTACTTTGTGATTGAATGGGATTTTGATTAGGTTTAAAACTTCAGAGTAACAGTTTAGAATTCAGGACTTGACTAAGGATTTTAACGTCTTGACTTTGAACTTATTGTGGGACTTTTATCTTTCCTTTAGGTGTGACTCAACACTTGGGTGGTAAGACTTGGTAAATACTTGTGACCTTCACAACAATGACTACGCTCCTTGTGAGCTGTTTACTAAAACCAGGTCCTCCAATCCCATTTTGTTGGAACAGATTTTTTTAGAGGTTTTAGAGTAAAGAGGACTGAATGAAAATGTAATTCTCAAGAATATTTGTATTAAAACACAAAAAACCTATAGAGAACAACAGTATGTATCTTTTCTCTTGCAGATAAACGTTATGTACACCTTTAACATGTGTTATGACTCACGATTTTATATTAAAATAATGAAATATGTAAAGGTTCAAGGATATGAACCGTTTTGGAAGGGTTTTATTTATTTGTTGTGGAAATTCCTTCAAAAATACTCAACTCTGCCATCTGACAGTTTTCCAGGTGACTCTTTTTTATTTTGATATTTACGTTTTAAACCAAATATAATTTATTTATTCATTTTTATTTTTTGGCTAAAAAGGAACTTTGCTTTTAATTTATTTGTCCTAAGATCTCTATATTGTTTAAAGTCAGAGTTCTGCTGTGATATTGTTTTCCATTCCTCTAAACAAATTAATTTATTCACCCACAAGCTTTTATGCTTTTAACATGAATAAAATAAAGAAGCTGTAACAGCCAGCTGTCTTTGCAAACCAATTTACAAATAATTTTATTTTACTGACTTTTCCAAACCAAGGCCAGGTTAATGTTGCTGTACTGCTGGGTGAAAGAGCAGAATCCTTGAATCGCCCGAAAAAAATCAATTTCTCAGGAAAAGAACCCTACTGTACAGACCCTTCCCACTATTACTTCTTATCAAGTTAGCAACAGCTAACATATTTCTATTGACAGAGGAGGCATTATTAATAAAACCTGCTTAAAGCAAAAATTTGGCTCTCATTAAATGTTACATTTAAAATGAGGTTGAAGAATATTGGGGGTTAAAGGTGGGGTGAGCAGTCTGAGCTTCTAGAAGTTGATAAAAAAGAAGCCAGAGTAAGTTTTGTCATTTAGAGAGATAACTGAGGTCTCACATTAATGCACAACAAAGGCCTGACTATGGCTTTCACACCATGAGCATTGCTTTTTTTTCACATCTTTAAACTATATAAGATTAAATTGCTGACATTTAGGAAAGATCGCAGTGCTTCTATCAAACTGCACACATTCTTTTGTTTTTCTTTCAGACCATGTTTTTTTTTTTTGGTATATGATCTATTTATTGTTTTATTTTGTTTGACATTATATGCCAAGCAGTTCTATTTTTTAACTTCTCAAACCTTTTGTTACAGAAAGAAAATCTGTTTTCTTAATCGAAAGAGTTTGGGGTTAACATGTCACAGAAGTTTGTTCACATTTTAATCACAAACCTCTGCGTATTTTAGGGGCATGTTATGGAATAGAACAACAGAAGCTGTGCATATTCTAGCAGAAAAAAGGGAATGATAAATGGTTTCCACATTTTTTTTTCTACAAATATGTAGCTTATAAGCTTCTCCGCCCCTGATAAAGACTAACATTCCCACTTGCACGAGGATGCCACCACTACGTTTGCCTGTGGGGATGTGTTTATGGTTATAAAAGATGTTAATTTCTTGTCACACATGACACATTTGCATGCATACTAAACAAGCATCTTAGCTGGAAAGTGTGCAATCTTTATTTATTAATATTCTAAAAACTCTTTTATTCAGTGTTTTCAATCTGATTCCCAATTATTCACTGCTTTATTTCTCTAGAATCCTTGTCAAACAACTGTTTTTTTCAGTTCTAGTGAAATAAATTGTGAAAAAGATCAAGGGATAAGACTTCCACAGCAAAGCTCTGAATGTCAATTTTCTTTTTGCCTGAGTGTTATTCTGTTTCACTGTCTTTTACAGAAAAGTGTGGAAAAAGTCTGAAAACATTGGACTAAGGAACAGATTTTCCTCTCCATTGAACTTGTTTTTCTGAATCTCCTCAGATCCGCTCGGATCAGGATAAGGACGTTGGCATTCGCTACAGCATCACAGGCGCCGGCGCAGATCAGCCCCCGAGTGGAATTTACAACATAGATCCCATCAGTGGCAACATGTTCGTCACTCAGCCCCTGGACAGAGAGGAGAGAGCATCCTTCCATGTAAGGAATGACATCTTGTCTGTTTGTGTTACAGGTCCATCTCCAATTACGTCTATCTCATTATTTCACCACTGCCGCTGTTAAAATGTACCTCAGCTATCTCACGTCTCCCCATCTTCCTTTCATCCCGATGCTACTGTTGCCTGTCCCGCCACATTCAGAGTAGCTGTTCCTCTGTGCCTTCAAACCAGTTTCTCAAAAACTTTAATGATCTTGAAGCCAGCAAAGAAGAATGCAGTGACAAAGAACACTGACACTTGTGCTGGCATTTGCTGTAGATTGAGCTGCGGAGCGCAGCAAGGGAGAGGTTTGAATTCAGACAAACAGAGACAGCTAAGGTGGTGCAAAGAAAAACTGTTGCCTTTGTTCCTACCATCAGCACTAATGAGCAGATGCGGCTTCAGATGTGTGGGTATGTGCCTGTGCATGGCCTGCAGATTGATGAATGTTTGTTTATGCCTTTCAGGAAGATCAGATCTTTTCCTCTGTCTGAACATCTTGCTCCATTTTTCCTTTGTGCATTGCTGGTCTTCTCATTACCTAATGTACCCTGAGTAGCCAAACTGATCAATGGGGCAGGCTGACAGTTGAACAGTCAGCCTGCATGTGGCCTATAGGATATATAACACACTGATTTAGCTGCAGGGGTGAGTTCATGTTGGTCATTCACTCTCTCTCTCTGGAACCTCGGTTTAAACAGCTTCTGAAGATTTAATAATTCATTGTGCAGACCACTTGACACATGCGGTAAAGCTTGCCCACTGGCTCCTTTTTGTGCATTAGAGGTTTCAGTTAATATCAGCCAACACTAACACCTGCACTTCAGGTGAGCACTGGTATCGGGCTTCACAGCATGTCTATGCTTGTCAGCGGGATAGATCACTGTGCTGCTGATAGAGCTAATTCTTAGGTATGATTCTCTGTTCGGAGTCAGGGCTGAATGAAGGAAGCTCAGCATGTGACATATATTCTATAAAATTCAAGTTAAATTAGCCTGGGATTGTGAAAATCTAGTTTCATACCTGTGCTAATCCTTAAAATAATGCATTGAATATAATGTTTGGGAGTAGTTATATAATTTAGGGCCTGATTTTGAAAGAATCCAAATAAGGAGAGTCAATTTACGTGGCCAAACATTTCAAAATCAATGTGCTAGAAATGGCCATGTTGCATGGGATCTAAGATTCTTGGTTCAAAAGTTAAGACATACAAACTATTGTTAGTCCACTCCATTCAGATGAGCAAATTGCATGTGCTGCTTGCATGTGAGGGTGGCTGTAAAAGAAAGATGAGGTTCCAAGTCAAGTTAGAGGTAATAATATTGATAGTAATTATTAGAAAATAATGACTATGATGATTATATGAATATTACTTAGAAATTATTTTAAACAACTATGTTAAGTTCCTCAAAACAAAACTTTAAAAAAATACAATAAGGAAATACACAAAAATACAAAAAATACACTTTCACCCTACTAATATTAATGTACCACCATCAATTATAAAAAGATGAAAAAGATGAGCATGTGCACCGAATTTCTCTCTGTCATTTTTCATTGTACCATTAGAAAACATGTGAAACAGAGTAGTCAAATCTCACAGAGTTAAAGTGCTGATCAACTCCATCCATACAAGACTGAGCATTGAAACAGTTGAGACATGTGCGATCAACGCAATTAACTTTAAATCTTTCCCTTTGTGTTTTGTGTTTTCAGAAGAATTGAAAAGAAAGCTTAGATCTCATTCTTTTATTTTACACAATGAAGTTTTATATCAGTTATAAAAGGTAAACAATGTACTTGCATTGTGTGAGGTTTCAGGTGAGTCTTTGTTATTGCTTCATCTCTAGACACTAACTATGCTAGATTACTCAGCACAAAGTACAGTATGCACACTTTTGGTACTTTTTCACATTATGTCCTTCTGCACCAACAACATTTATATCTTTTAACTTGGATACTTTGTGACAGACTAGTGCATTGTAAAGAAAAATTAAAAGCTTTGGAATTTAATTTACCCCGTTTATTCTGATGCCTTTAAGTAATTTCTGTGAAACAAATTTCTTTCCAGAGTTTGGCTTAAGAAGATTAGAGGGCAAACTGCACCATGAATACCAAAGAATATAGCAGATTGGTCATAAAAGGGTAGAGAAATTTAGATTTGAATGGCTTAAAAAAAGAAATCGCTGGACATTTCATTTTTTCTAGAAAGAGGAGCACACATATCCAAACTAGGCCTTCCCTTGAAGACGGTCCATGTACCTTTGAGGAAATGGGAAACAAAATGTGTCTGGGTGGTAGCATCATGCTGTGGGCCCGTCCCCTCTATAGGATAGGGAAGGTGATGAGCTCCTCACAAAAGGCCCTCCCCCCAATTTTTTTCTTTTTTTTTTTTTGTTTTTCTTTTTTTTTTTTATAGAAATGTTCATTAAGAGCTGTGAATCCTTTAGTGACGCTCTCCACTTCTTTGCTTTTCTCAACCTCTAGCTCCTGCTTTATGTGTCTTTCCATTTCTACTCTTACACTCAACCAGCAAATTGGGATCAATAAAGCAGCCATGGTATTGGTCCGTGAAAAAGTGCCGCTGCTCCAAAAATACTTTTTATATGACATAGTTCAGTTTGTTCTGCGCTTCAGCTTCAATGCACTTCCTATTTAAACTGCGTGGTCCCATGCTGCCTTTGATGGATGTATGATTTAGTGCAAAGAACATAGCCAGTGTTCGACTCAAGGGAAATTTTGTCCATGGCTTACTTTCGCCCAACTTGACAGGAAGTTCTCAACTTCATGAAGCGCTAGCAGGCCAAACTTTGCTTGTTAGTTTTTGGTTCAAGGGAAAAGAGAGACGCTGCTGCTGTTTTTGACAGACTAGCACCAGGGGGAAGGCATCTGTTAAGTGAGCAGTGTGGGTGTTAGCGTGAGTTGCAGATTTACCCAACAGCTTTAGAGGGCCACAATAAATTTGAGCAAATAGTATTTTTTTTGTTTTGTGTTGTTGTTGTTTTTTTTTTTGTCTTTGGATGAAGGTCAGTTACATACACACATTTTGTTTTCTGTGTACATGTGTCAGGTGCGAATAGATTTATATTAAGTACCACACAACACCTGGATGAAATTCTATTATGTGCTTAAAAAGTAATAATCTGTTTGGAAAGCCTATGTTGTTTAAATACTCAATTTAGGACAGTATGAGGCTTCTAGCAGATGTTTAGAGCGACTCTTTTAGGCATCAAGATAATTATTCTTATTGCCACATTGCCAGACAGGACACTGTTAAGAAAAAAAAAAGAATGACTCTTTTAGACTGGAAACTTAATACAATTCTATATATTCATAGAAGTCATATTAGAAAAAGAAGTATCATTGAAAAATGTAAAGAGGAAATCAAACTAATGCATCACCTACTGTAGTGCTGCAGGGTTGGATTCTGAGACAGTGTCTTTGAAAGGCCTAAACACTTTCCAAAAGGACTCGAAAGCCAAAAAAATATTATTATTTTGCAGGACCAGGAGTTCATCTATCTAGGTTGATTTTGTTGGTAACCTTATTATCATTAAAGTTTTATGAGCTGGTCTGAGAAGCAGAGGGCGCAACAGGCAGGAAGGCTTCCAGCTTAAGATCTGATCTAAAGATACGATTGAAGTGCAAGAGAAGTGATGATTTATTTCTGTTATCTCTGTGAATGGACCATCCAGTTACCCACTCCTACTGCTACTCAGGTTAATTTTTATGCAGATGCCTTTCTTACTGAAAAGCTATTCTGACTGGATTTTAGTGAATATGACATCCTCTGCTTTACCAATCTGCAAACTTTTCAGCTAAAGACTTCTTAATACACATGGGTAAAATGCAAGAAGAAGAAAAAAGGCTCTATCTTGAATCCAGTTTACTTGGCTTTAGCTTCTTCTTCCTTTTTGTCTGTCTCCAAAACTGCAATTATTGTTTTTTACTATCAAGGAAGATATTATCGATGATGTTTTCTGTGGATCAAAATTGTGCTTTTTTTCTTGCCTTTCTGACAGCCATTTTATTGATAGATTTTGGTTTTAGAATTTATAAAGGTTTGGTCGTTGAGGTTTATGTTTTCATGGAATTAAAAAAGGACCTACCATGAAAATAACCTCCTGAATATCCCTCTGTGGGACAAAAAATAATATTTAATGGTAAAGGTTATATGCTTGTAGAGCACTTTATCAAGTCCAATGACCCCAAAGCACTTTACACTACATTCAGTCATTTACCCACTATCGTTAGCAAACTACAGGCGCCAACAGGCCCTCTGACCACCAACAGTAGACAATGAAGGATAAGTGGCATACCCAAGGACACAGTGATGGGGATAAATGGGGCAGGGATTTGAACCGGCAAACCCCTGGTTTCAGGACAAACTTTTGCATCCTATGTTACTGTTGTACACTAATATATCTATTCTAATTTATTCTGTTGTTTGTGTCTGTTAGTGGAGCTAATAATTTGCAGCACTCAGGAGATGAATTAACTGGAAGTAGGGAAATTCAATCATAATGCTTAGTCTTATGTAGCCGTAGACACAGTTTTTGCTCTGCTTCTACATACAGTATGTGCCATTCTTCTCCTCTTTGCAGAACCAACATAGAGATTAGGGGCACCCAAATTACATCTAAAGATTGCAGTTTTAAAGGTTTATTTTTTTTTTTTATCTGTATTCAGGTAGACAATAGTCAATTGTTTTTGTTTTCTAAAGATTAAAAAAATATTAATGATTATCCATTAGGTCAAGTAACATTACCATTCCTATACCATGATGATATTACCACTATCATCAGCACTTCTGTCCAGATCATTGCTTTAACATTCAGGTCCTATTAAGCTTTTTTTTACTGCACTCCAGCATTACGTTCCTGTTACTGAGTTCTGTAATAGGTTTGAGGACAAACCACCACCTGTTTCAGATATTTCCGACTTGTATTGCTGTTCCTGAGTTAACAGCATCCACAGCAGCAGCGAAGATGCTGCACTAGT